AAAAATCATATTTATTTAACATAAATTTATCCCTCTTCCAGATCTTAAATTTTTTACCACTACAAACTCAGAAACCAAAGAAGAAGGATGACTAAGAAAATTTTTAAAACACTTACTTAGTCTTAAAAAGCTTAAAATCACACCCTAAATATCCTATTAAAAACTCTTACCTTAAAACCCAGCACCGGTGAACTTGGCTCAGACGCTCTCTCTGATCGCACATGAAATAGAAGAGAAATGAAGGAAAAATGAGAAGAGAACGGTGGTTTTTAAAAACGAATATGGGTCCCACAATTTTTTTTAATTATTTTCCTCTTTCCTCTCTCTTCTTTCTTTTATTATTATTATTATTATATAAATATAATGATTACACGCGCATGCAGAAAGTTTTCTTGTTCTTCTCGTTTTGTTTGTTTGTTTGTTTTTATAATAATAATAATAATTTAATAATATTTTTTTATTTTTTTTATTTTTTAAATTAATTTTTTTAATTTTAATTTATAATTATATCCTAAGTTAGATTTAATAATCATCTCCTATTAATTTGCTTACTTCTAAATATTTTTCAAAATTTCTATTAATCCAAATTAACTATTAAAATTTAAATTGGGATGTTACAATCAAAGTCCTTCTCAAAGCAAGAGCCTAAGTCATGGATGCTGATGTAGATTTGGCTTCGTCAACAAAAGCCCATTTGAAATTACTTAGCCAATCATGATAGAAAATGCCAATAGCTATGTCATCATTTCTTATATTGTATGCCCCATCACTTTGGGAGGTCAAACCCACCCAGAATAAGCAGCAGGTGGACATGCAGAAGCAATAAATGACTGAACTCACTCCTTTTTACATAACTATTCCAATAGTTATTATGAAATCGTTTGGCTTGCTCACTAACTTCCAAGGGGATGTAACTTAATAGAGTTAAAGAGTACATTGTTCCTAGCTTTTTAGATTAGCCATAAATCTAAAATATAAAAGAGATGTCATAATTATATAAATTTGCAGCATACATGATAGAAATTCACCAACTTCAAAGCTAGAGAAATTAAGTCTATCAAATTTCAAACTCAAATTACAACCAAACCATACATATGAGACCTATGGATGAAAGAAAAATAAATGTTCAATTGTTTCTTCCTACTAATGGCAAATAGGATATACCTTAGAGCACCAATGCCTTCTATTGACAAGGGTTTCATTAGCGGCTATTGACATATGAGACTATTCTTTTACCTTTTTCTTGCAACATATATAATGCAAACATTTTATTAACTTATTGGATACTAATTAAAAGAAAATCTATTAATTAATATTGATTAATTCCTTAAATAATTATGTGTGAATGCTAGTACACATGAATACCATAGCTTTGTTAGTGATGGAATTACTTTCAATGATTAATTATAACACAATTAACATTTAAATTTCCATGCATGAATATGTTATGTTAAAATAAAATTAAAACGTAACCTATTAATTAACAATGAATTACATACTAGACATTGATTATATCAAATCAGTTTGTTAATATTATTTGATTATAAAACAATTATATTTGAATAAATACTATGATAATTAATAATATCAAATAATATTGTCACATGTGCAACTAAAAATTATACATTATTCAAAAATATTTTATAGATAACAATGATTTATACATGCTAAAATAACAATTCCAAAAGAAAAAAGGAAAAATTGGTAAAAAGGATCAAGTTGAAACCAAAATTGTGCCTAAGAACCAAAGTTCATAAAAGGATTGAGCTTATTATTTTATTCATAAAATAATTTGATCACATGACAAAAATGCCCCTCCATATTAACTAAAAAAATAAAATAAGAAAAAGGCACAAAATCAAGTTGCTAGAGCTTCGATGACCTCTAACCAGAGCTCTAATAATTGACAGTGCGCTTGTCGGCAAGTGAAGGGTCGTTGGAAAATGTCAGCAAAAAAATTCAAAACCCCTTGATTACATGTAATTATTAAGAATTTCATGTAAACTCAGTAACCAAAGGGTGTAAGGCTTCTGGCTTAAACGATTACATGTAATCTCTAGCAGATTACATGTAAATCAAACACACAGAGAGTACCCTGTTAGTCCCTTATAATTACATGAAAGTAAATATGGCTTACATGTAAATAAAAAATATACAGAGTACTCCTTTTCAATCCCTTAGAATTACATAAAAAAGACTATGAATTATATGTAAATTAATATGTGAAGAAATTCTCGAGCACAACTAAGGAATGATTTACATGTATTCTCTAGTGGATTACATGTAAATTAAAGACATAGAGAGCACGTACCTGTTAATGCCCCTAAAGTATATGAAAATGATTATAGATTACATGTAAATCAATATATGAAGAAATTTACGAGCATGTTTGAGGAATAATTTACAAGTAATATCTAGCGAAGTACATGTAAACCATTGTCAGTGCCCCTGAATTACATGAAATGACTATGAATTATATAAAATGACTAAGCTAGAAACTTTGCACCCTAAACCAAATCCCTTACACCCAAACCAGAGGCTTTGCACTTAAGCTGTGCCCTTTGTGCCCAAATCATACCTTTTGCACCTCAAGCTATAACAAGTGCACCTTAAGCTAGAAGCCTTGTACCCATAAATCAATGAAGCAAAAATCAATGGCATGAAACATTTTTCTTACATTTTAGATTGAGTCATAAATGCCATGCTTGATATCTTTCAACTAAATTTAAGATAACAAAAATAAGTAACACAACAAGGCAAATTGATTTTGATAGCCACTGAACAATCTAATATTTACACTTTACCAAATAAAAACAATGTTATAAATTTGATTTGGAGAACAAGAAGAAGAAACTAGTCCCTGTTAAGCAGTAATAGAAAAAAAAGACTCATTATTCGACCCTTTAGGCTATACAACAACATCATAAAAAAAAAAGAAACAAGCATCAAATGCGAGGATCTATTGCACTACCACCACAATCAAAATGCTGGCTATTAACTAATAAATTGCTGTCAGCTAGACTTGAATTAGGAACAATATTTGGTCGATACATTTGTTATTTAATTAACAATGGTAAAATTAAATCAACAAAATGAGCCATATGAATTAACAAAAATTTCATATAACCACAAGCATTAACTTTAAAGTACAGCTAGAAAAGCAACATTATAAAGATTTATTTAAAATTTCCTAAGTTGAGAAAAGCATACTTATCGAAATGTCAGCAAATATGACATTTAGTTATTCATTAAACTAGGAATTCAAAGCATCAGTATAACCCAAATTATAACATAAATGGCTCATGCACCAACTTAACCTGATTTTCAAGGCCTAAACTAAAATAGAATAATTCACAACTAGAAGAGAGAAAGTTGGTTATGTATAAGAGAATAGGTTTAAGGCCTTTATCAAGTAATAATTTCACAAGCAAGTAGGTAACTAACTTGGCAGTAAATATATAAATATGAAATTCAAGAAGGGATTGCAAATTGTAGATTTCATATTCATTAATTCAATTTCAAACCATAGACCTTAGGGATGAAAGAAAAGGCAATATTAACAATGGCCAATCATTTGTAAACAAAGAAACTCATTAGCTCTTCTATGGAATCCATTAAAGATCTACCATCAACATCATTAGGGGAAACATAAAAAGGTCCTCTTATGCCTTGCCTGGCTAAGTATTGACTCATCGCTAGTTTTTTTCAATTTTTTCAAAGTAGATTTTCGTAGTTTGTTATTCTCATTTTCATTTTTCCTTCTAGTTAAAGCTACATCTTCCCCTTCCATCTCTTTCGAAGATTCTAAATCTTTAGAAGTGTTTTGCATCTCAGCAATGATTTTGGATGTTGTCTCGGCAACTACAATAGCCTATCTTGTAAGAGGAAAAAAATCATAAATAAAAACACATTATCTATGACTTAATATCTCATACAATACCATATAAAAGTACAACAATCATCAAAACGTCATCAACAAAACCAACAACATTTCAAATTTTCATCCTTATAATCTTTCAATCATCAAAAAATGTAAAACTAAAAATAATTATTCCAACAATTATAGCATAGCAAAATTTAATCTGCAAACCAACAATTACAACAAGCTCAAATTTCACAATTTCAACAAAAATTGAGCATAGAAGACTTCAAGTTGCAAACTCCCACTACAAATAAACAAACCTTACAAAATTTAAAAAACTCACATTCACAATGCAATCAAATCAAATCAAATCAAATCAGTACAAAACTTGTAGATAAATCAGTAGAATGAGTGAGGGGAAGGTGTGACTAAAAACTTGTAGATTGCAAAGAAAAGCCAAGGCAACAGTTGATGAGCAATTAGGAAGAATATGCTTCACTAGTATGCATAAACGAATGTAAAAGAAATGAAGTTTAATTTCAATCATTTCAGGAGGAGCATGTGCATTCAAGTCTTACATTCAATGAAATTATATATAATCTGATTTTTCTTCAATTGTTTTATTTCTTTTCATAATTCATACTCCTTTTATGAATTCATTTTCTTTGCATTAAGTAATTACTTAGTTAGCTAAATCTATTACTCACCTGAATCGAGTAGGGAAGGAGAGAGAGAAGCTATGTTGAATCATTTGTGACAAACCCACAAGGATGAATTAGAGTCAATGCTGAATGTTGAGGGCGAAGAGAAAGATGAAGGAAATGAGAAGCAGGTTGCCAGAAATCATCTCCTATCTATATGCTTTTCTCCCAGCATTTTGGTCATTTCCCTTCATCCTTTTTTAAATTTTTTAAATAAATTAACAGGCTTGATTCTTTTATGAACTTTGGTCCTTATGTACAATTTTGATTCCAATCCGTTTCTTTTTACCAATATTTTCAAGAAAATATATCTTCATTGTTTTTCAATTCAAAATATCTCAGCAGTCTGATTTAATTTACTGATTGATTGATTGATTGATTGATTGATTAATTATATAAATAAGTACTTCCCCCGAGCCATTCCTCAGATTCGGCACTATACAGTGGCTTAATATCTAGCTTTTCATTCAGAAGTACACAGAACAAAGTTCTTTGTTTGGCGAAAAAGCAGAAAGAGAGGCGGCGAAAAAAATCGGAGTGTCACTCGGTAATCTCTTGTGCTGGCTCTGGTTTTCTTTTGTTGGTCTGCTGCAGCTTCTCCTTTTCTTCTATATGCCATGGAAGCCCTTTCGAGCTCTGTGTTTAACGCTAAGATGCTGGAGGCTTATTCTTCCCTCCGTTATCATCCTCCAATCGGAACTCCTAGCAATCGAACTGTGTCACTGAAACTCACCGAGCATTCACGATTTGTTGGCCTCCGTGCTTTCTCTCTCGCACCCGAGGTTCCCAGCGAAGGCGAAGATGGGAAGGCTGTAAATAATGGCTTCGGTATAATTTCTCCAGAAAGTTTTCCTGAGGTAATTTTATTTATTTATTTATACAGTTTTCGATCAACTTAGCTTGTACGCAACTATTTGTCCGTGAAAGGCTATTTTGATTCCCAAAATTTATTCTTTTGGTTGGTATTGAACTGCTCTTGGTTGACATAAGGGCTATGTTTTCGTAGTAGAATCGAAGAAGATCCCCGCTGTTCGCTAAACCTTTATATTTAAGGGTACGGTTAGCAGTAAGGTGTCTAAGTTCCATGTGATTATTTTATTAGTAAAGGCTTATGCCTTTGCATTAAAAAAAAAAAAAACCAGCGAGCCATTCCATTTAATGTTTCGGTGAGATATGGGACAGTCTGATCTACATATTTATATTCATCTTGCTCATGATTTACGGAACTTAAAGGAAAACCAATGCCTCCTATACATTTGCATGCATCGTGTAAGCATGGCAAGTCCCTGCAGTTCTGTGCACAATTGCTAAGATCTTGGTGTAGTCTGGTTGATCAGCTATTGCATTTGATCATTGCTTTGGTTATTGTGGCTCAAGTTCAATTCTTTAGTTGAAACTGACAGATGAGAGATGCTATGCCATTGATTTAGATAAAACTGTGTAAAAAATTATTGGATGGATAATCTACATCATTCAATTCTAAGTGCAGTTTAATGAGTTGAATGCTTCTTGTTTTCTTCAACCCCATCTTCTTGTTGTCATCTGGTGGAGCCTGTAAGAGAGAATCATTTAGAGTAATCATTTAATTGTTTGTTCCTCATCCTGCAGGGTAATTTAAGCAACATTCAGAGCTGTGACAAGGATGCAGATCAGGCATTGAAAATAGAGACGCCATTGACTGTTTTCCCAGCCCCTGGCGGAAGTGGTGCAGGTAGTGGTACAAGAGCTGGACTTTTTAGAACGCCTATTTCTGGTGGTGTGCAGAGTGCTACCTCAGCGCATGGTCTGCCTAGACCAGCCTTAGCGGTGCGCAATTTGATGGAACAGGTGAGGGGCTGGTCTTGCTAGTAGAAACAAAACAAGATATCGTATATCCTGCTACAGAGCTGTCTCTAGAACTAATTTGATTCAGGGCATCCCCTGATCGATTCTGATTTACCTTTTCCTTCTTTAATTCAAGGCTAGATTTGCTCATTTGTGCACTGTAATGTCTCGAATGCACCATCGGCGGGAAGGATATCCATTCGGTTCTCTAGTAGATTTTGCACCTGATCCAATGGGCCGTAAGTCCATATACTCAACAAACTTATTTCTGTTTCTTTTGATGTGTAGTTAATGGTTTGCGTACAGAATTTTATAACTGCTTGTTTATTCATGGTTCAAGTAAGACCAACATGAGATTAAGTTAGGAAGCTAAGTCCTAAGAGTTGGAGAAATGAGAGAACTGAAATAAGTTTCCTTAATTCTAGTTTGTGTCGGTAGAGTAAACTAAGTGGGATAAACGAAGTTTCATATTTGGAGTATGAGCATGAACAGCGGAAGATTCCTATTTGTTCTTCAATTCTTAAACAGACCAAGATTAATATGCTTGCAGCTATTGATTTCACATTCTTGCTCTAGGAGGAATTCCGAGTTCTTACTTTTTGTTTATTCCAATATTATATGGTTCTTTATAAACTTAATTGACATTTTGAATTGCAGATCCAATATTTTCATTTTCACCACTTGCCATTCACACAAGGAATTTGTTAGCTGACCCTAGATGCACATTAGTTGTTCAGGTTTGTGGTTAAATGTTTCCTCTCAGACCTTTTATATTTTGCACCTTGTTATTCTGCATTTATGGATTTTATTGATAGTTAGGTTTATTAGATACCTGGATGGAGTGGCTTGTCCAACGCAAGGGTAACTATCTTTGGTGATGTCTATCCACTTGCAGAAGATCAACAGGTAATTTGCTTACCAATTTGGGCTATATGATCAGAATTGCACATTTGCATGTGGAATTAAAATTAGCTTCTTTTAATTTAATTTTTATTTGGATGTAAATCATGATATCTACTTGTGCTTACAGGAATGGGCTCATAAGCAATACATAGCAAAGCATCAACAGGGGCCTTCACAACAGTGGGGCAATTTCTATTATTTTAGGATGCAGAATATAAGGTTTTTTACTCTTTAAACTTGACAAATGGATGTGGCTTATGCTTGTTGCTTTTACACAATATAAGCTGTTAAGCAAACTCCACATTTTTAACTGGACCTTAATAATTGCCTATATTTGTTGGAGAGCCAATTTAAGCTAGACTAGACAATATAAAGTGCTTACACTTTTAGAAACAAATAAATTATTTTCTGGGTGTTGCATCTAGTCCACACACACAGGTTAAAACTTCCATAACTTTTTGGTATGCTTATTGCGTGCTTCATCTTTCATTAACTGATATTCTTTGTCACAGATTTTTATTGAATTTGAGACTGCCATTGTGTTAGCATTTTGCAAAATGATGCAGTTTCATAATGGAGATCTTAGCCGTCAAGAATATTGAAATGACTAAACACAAGTCATGTGGAATTAGGGATTATGAATTCTTATTGTCAGATGTAGTTATCATGTACTTTTATATCTAATTTAATCACTTCATTGTTGGCAGTGACATATATTTCATTGGAGGCTTTGGTACTGTTGCTTGGGTGGACGTGAAAGAATATGAGACCCTTCAACCTGATAAAATTGCAGTTGATGGTGGTGAGCAGAACCTAAAGGTGACTTCTCTTCTTCCTTACTTGGTATAAAAAAGAATAGAAAATCTGATTTGCATAGGGGAAAATCAATCTAACTCAAAACAAATATTTTTAGTAACAGTTATTGCCTTATAGCTGGGGACAGATAAAGTTGCAATGGTGTATTTGTCTACCTGACTGGATATAAATTTAAAACTTGAGGGTCATCTTGATAGATATTGGTCAAATTAAGGTCCGGTAATAGAATGTTACTGAAGGTATATAATGCCAGAATCTGATAATCACTATTACTGTAATAACCGTGATATTCAGGCCACCCAAAGAAAAAATAATAACCCAAATAGAGGATCTCCAATACAGGACATTTAGTAATCACAACCTAACCATTATAACATCTACACTTATTTATAATGCAAACTGAAATATAAAACTGACTTGAGGACAAAACTGACGCATAATTGAAACTAATAAGCATAACTAACGAAGGCCCAAGTAGTATCTTATCACGTTTTCATTTTATTTGATAAAAATCCAAAACAAGTTTGAGTGGTCTTTTCTTTTCTTTTCTTTTTCTTTGCTTTTCCTTGATCCTTCTCAGTCTAAATATTGATATATGAGGTTGTAGATTGAAGGGAATTCTGGCTGCCCTCATCAGATCTTCTCATATGATAAATATTAGGAGATTTATGCTGATTTTAGCTTGTCTTATTAAAAACAAAACAAGTATTTAACATGAATATATTGATATGCTATTCATGTTCATTTAATAATATTGTAATCCTGTCTGGTTTTGTGTATTTTTGCTACAACATAGCTACCAAGAATCGTATCTCTCTATTATTGTTGTTGTTGTTTTTATAAGGCTTGCTTATACTTTTACAACTATAGGAACTCAATGCTATCTTCTCAAAGCCTCTAAAGGAGCTTCTATCTACCGAGACAGAGGTAGATGATGCCGCTCTCATATCTATAGACAGCAAGGGGACTGATATCAGGGTGCGTCAAGGTGCACAGGTACATGTTCTTCTTTTTCTTCTTCTTGGTTTTTTTTTTTTAGTACAAGGCTGGGAAAACTGTGCAACGAGATAAAATTAGGTTATGTCAGAAGCCATAAAGTCTTGCACCCTGGTGGCAGGTGGTTAAAGATCAAAACATCTAAATTGTTGCAGGATGCCTAGTGGGGCGAGCATATCAAACGTATCTGTTTATTTCTCTGAATATGTGGTTGAGTTACATGCTTTTTTTTTTCAAAAAAAAAAAAACACATTATTTGGGGTTCAAACTTTTTAGCTGCAGTCTAAGTAATCTGTCTTTTATGTAGTTCAACGTACAGAGGATATCATTTGATGATGGGCAAAGTGTGGAAACATTAGAAGAAGCTAAAGCTGCTCTCTGGAAATTAGTACACAGAGGACGGGTGTACAACTTATAGAAATAGAAAGTCGAATGTGCTTCACTTTATCCTACCCTTAATATTAGATGAGACAGACAACTGAACTTTGTTGAGTTTCTGGTCTTTTATCATTTTTGGCCCTAATAATGCTGTTCTGAGTGTGTTAAAAGTCCATATTCAACATGCTTATGGACTGCCATGATGCACCATATTGTATTATATCCAGAAGAATTTTGAAGTGTGGCTAACTGGGATTGTGTTAGGAATAAGATGTTAGGAAATAATATTATGCTTTTTCAACTTATCTGAAAGCCTGGGATTTTGATGCATTGTCGGTAGTATTTATGAAAGTAATAAAGATTCCTAGTATTAATTTCGTATTATGTTGGTACTCTGTATCTGCGAACCCAATCAGCATGTCTCTCTATTGAATGTCTTTGTTATGCTTTTATGTGCAACCCAAGTGCAGACAAATGTGCGTAGAGTGGATGAGATATTTTTCTTTTTGTTTTGCTAACAAGATTGAAACTTGTAGAGGAAAAGGTAATCAGCATTATCCAATGGCTAGGCATTTGAAGAAGAAATCAGTAATAATTAAATCTTATCTCTAAATGCAGCATATCAAGTCGGATGCAGACATATTCAGCATTTTCTGTCTATATTCAAAGCTATTACTTATTACTGTTCCCACAAGTTTCTTCTTTCTATTTTGACTTACCAGAATCCCAAGTAATCAAGTCGTGTTGAACACTATAAAGCAATACTCCTTCCTACTCTACAGGTATTTAGCAAAGCATAATTGTAAGAGTTTTTATCGTAATGAAATATTATATTAAAAATATAAAGTATTTTTAATTTTTTAAAGTATAATTAATACGTTTTTTTTAAATGTCTTTAATTGAAGGTGTAATTAATGATTTTTTTAATTAAAACAACCTATTAAATAAAGGTAAACATGTCAACATGAAAATAATGTGTAATTTTATGTCATCAATTAACTTATTTGAGCATAAGTTAGTTAAAAGTGTACCAGAAGGAGTAAAAATCATTTTTCTTATAAGGAGCACATCATTTTTAACTTACTTATCAAAATCAAAACAAGTTGGTTGAAGCAATACAATTGTTTTAAAATTAAATTACACCCTTCATTTAATATTATAAGGCATTTTTTAAAATTTTATATTAAAAAAATAAGGTATTTTAAATCTTTCAGGTGCAATTAATAAGATTTTTTTAAAAATATCCTTAATTAAGGTGTAATTAATAATTTCTAATTAAGATGTCCTATTACACAAGATAAACATTAAAAAAGTATGCAATCTTAAAAATAATTAACTAACTCATTCAAAAATATAATTAAGTTAAAATGTCTTATACCACTAAATCAAGAGATTACTCTCCACTTTTGCCTCCCATAAACATGACCAATAAATATTTTTATATTATACTAGAATCTGATAAAGACGATATTTATGAAATAACCCATTAAATACTACACAATATATTAACATAATGATAAAAAAATAACATATATTGAAGGCCATGATTCCTTTCCATAACTCTCCACTGAAACTTGAAAGGATTTTTAGGCCAAAAAAAACAGAGAGAAGCTTGAAAGGATTTAAATGCATCTATCAATAGCAGAGACCGGAATAAAGACGCCTCCAACTGAACTTGTCTGATGAGATTCTGATACGAAAATATGGCACGAAAAGATTTGAGGGTAAGTGGATAACAGTGATAAAACAAAGAGTCCCCAAAGCACAAAAGAAAACGAAATCTTTCTTGGGATAAAAAGTGGACTGTTTTGTCCGAAAACCGTGACACAGCACACAGGTAGGCTGCGGAAGAAGCCAAGGGTTCAAAGAAACTCATAATTTCATAAAGGCGACAAAGAAAATGGGCACACCCCAGAACCTGTCTAAAATCAATCCCTTTCCTGAGGAAAATTTACCACTTTCTCAAACACCAAACACCCATTTTACCAATTTATCTTCCAAGCCCAATGAGCTCTGTACAATGTGTAGTAGAAAGATTAGAACTTAGAAACAAAATCCTATTTCAGACGTGTGTCTGGCCTCTGCCCAGTTCAAAGCCATAGATAGATCCAGCCATGGAGATGGAGGAGAATCAGAGCTATGGTGGATCACCAATAAGCAACATATCTCAGGACCACCTCTTCACCATACTTCTCTTCCTTCCCGTAGATGCGATTATGTCTCTATCCATGACTTGTAGGAGATTGAGAGCTCTCACTTGTTCTGATACTCTCTGGGAATCTGTGTGTAAAAGAGATTGGGGTTCCAGATGCGTCGATGCCCTCAAGTGCAGCAGTATCATCAATAATCAGCCTCAATTTCCATGGATGAGTCTCTATAAGCAAGTTTTCCTCTTAGATTCTGTTCATTGCCAAAGATTGTCTGACCCACTTCCTCAATTGGATTTTCCTACCCCACGAGCTTCTCACTCTCTCAACGTTGTTTCAGATTGTCTAGTATTGTTTGGTGGTGGCAGTGAGGGAGGTTTGTTTCTCATCTCTATTTCTATCCTCTTTTATCTTCTCTGCCTATCTTCAATAATCATAATCATGGCTTGTGTGACTGTTTTTGTTTGTCCTCTAATTTTGTGGAACTAAAGAGAACTTGTTAAGTATTCTTCTTAGATAATATGGAATGGCATCATCCCACGTATAATAACATGCTTTTCACTATATTTTATTGTCTTGAACAGTAAATTTGATTTATGATTCTTGTTTGATTCAATCTGATTATTGCAAACGCTTATTATTGTAAAAGAGTTAGGTATATATATTATGCTCAAATTTCTTTGAATCGTAGTACTTTATGATTGTGATTCTGAATTGTGAGAGCACCAACTCTATCTAGCATTCAAATATAGCCTTAGGCTGGGTATGTGTATTGGAATTATCATTTTCTCCCTCATTATATTGCTCTGTCAAAGTCTCAGTTTTCATGTCATGTATGTTCTTAGGATCAGTGTTGTTGGAATATAAGAGTTTGCTTTTCTTCCATCTCTGTTCTTCTAGTATTGACTAAACTGTAATAATTGATGTAAAAGGACGACATGTGGATGATACATGGGTGGCATATATTGGCAGTGATTTCCAGAGAATGTTAAAATGGCATAAAGTACATTCAGGCATTCCAAGTGGTAGATTTGGGCATACATGTGTGGAAATGGGTGATTTCCTTGTACTCTTTGGAGGAATCAATGATCTTGGGAATCGTCAAAACGACACGTGGGTGGGACAAATAACATACTGCAACAACGATGTTATCACATTCTCCTGGAGGTTGCTAGATGTTGGAGCCATTATACCAGCCCCAAGAGGAGCTCATGCTGCTTGCAGCATTGACAACAAGAGAATGGTCATCCATGGAGGCATGGGACTTCATGGGGTTCGCCTGGGCGACACGTGGGTGTTAGAGCTCTCAGACACAGACCACAATCTCTGCACAGGCACGTGGCATGAGATTCTGACACATCCATCTCCTCCAGCACGTTCAGGACACACATTGACTTGCATAGGAAGAAACAGAACTATTGTGTTTGGAGGAAGAGGATCAGGCTATGAGGTGCTTGATGATGTTTGGCTATTAGACATAGATACTCAAAGTTGGGTTCAAATAGTTTATGACACACCAGGAAATATGCCAGAGGGTGTTTCTCTGCGTAGAGTTGGGCATTCTGCTACAATGGTATTAGGTGGAAGATTGCTGATTCATGGAGGAGAAGACTCTCACAGACACAGAAAAAATGATTTCTGGGTATTAGATGTGAGTGCTATTCCTTGTACTGGTAAGAGTGTTGTGCAAGCAACTAGTCCAAGCACAAGCAGGGTGAGATCAAACTCCAATAGGATATGGAAGGTTTGGAGATCAATTGGGTATGAAGCTAAGTGCAGATCATTTCATCGTGCCTGCGCAGATCAATCCGGACGATATGTTTATGTGTTTGGAGGGATGGTTGACGGCGTTCTTCAGCCTTCTGATGCTGCAGGATTAAGGTTTGATGGTGAGCTCTTTCTTGTGGAGCTTCTGCTTCACTTGTAGGAAAGGAAGCCATGGGTTATTTGGTAGTGTAGTATCTTCAAATTTCTTCAGATCATGTATTGCCATTTGCTTAGCTTTGATGATGATATTGTTAGTCTCTTGCTGATGCTCACCCAAATTTGGATCCCCTGCAGTGCCTATATATACATATATATAGACCTTGAGTGCTTAGGTACAGTGTATTGGGGAGAAATAAACTTGATAAAAATAAAATAGAAATATAAAAATATCATTATTAATTTAACTTAGCTCTATAGGCATTACAGGTCATCCAAATCCGACCCTATGTCGCATCATCCATGAGCTGCTATGATAATACAGTCATAATTAAGAAGGGGGGGGGGGGGAATTTAATCGCCAATCCGATTTGGAATCAAAATAAACCCAAAAAAGAAGGGTGAGCCAAGCTATCAAGGTTGAAGTCTGAAATGGTCAAGCTCGGAGTGAAATAATCCTCTGCATGCAATGGTATTGAAGGGCTATAAGAGCTACATAAAAAAAAAAGGGAGGTGGGGGGAAATGATAATAAAATCCTTTTGAAATGTATAGATGACAATTTGATTTTTCAAAATGCAATAATATCTTTGAAGTCTCTATGAATTTTTTTGTCATTAATAAATTTATATAAATTATTAAATTATCTTTGTTGAAAATAGATGATTTGCAAATTTTGTTTAAATATTCACAATTTTTCTTTTTATATTTTCAACAATACAATAGCAAATTACAACTTCACATGTTAATTTCTTATTTGCTGTTGCATTGTTGTGAATATAAAAAGATAAGTTGTGAATATTTAAATAAAACTTGTGAATCACTTATTTTTAAAAAAGGTAATTTGATGATTTATATAAATTTATTAATGACAGAAAAGTCTTTAGAGAATTATGACATTTTGAAGGACTAAATTATTATTTATACATTTTAGATGGATTTCATTGTCATTTTTCCTAAAAAAATTGAAAGCAAAGACCTTTTTCTTTTAAAAGAAAAAGAAAATTACTTTAAGGTGGTTTACAATACAATTAAATATTATAAAATTTATTAATAAATCTTGTAATAGTTAATGTGTTGTGGAAGACCCACTTGTTGAAGCATGGATGACTAAGTCCTTTGTATTGGCATACAAGAGTTAAAACCTAGAAAAGTGACAAAGAAATTGAAAGAAATGACTTTTTTTTTAGGCCGGACTTTCGATGTGCCAGATTTCTCCATCTGATATTCAATTAAGGTGATCTATGTGTTTATAGAAAGCTTCCTCCAAGTTCTAGCTAATGGCATTGGTTTCACATTCAAATCATTTTTCAACAAAAGTTGAATATTAAAATACAAACTTACTTATTTATGCTTTCAAAATATAGCTAAGGTGTCTAAAATCACAAACAAGTGCCATAAGCTCACAACTACCCTTAAACCATACTCAGTAGACTTAATAAGACTTGTGCAACATACCACAATACACCAATAACATATACAATACATTTTCATCTCTCAACCCCTTAATCTAGAAATGATAAGGGGAGTTTCAATCATGTAATCTCATATCAAAATCACCATCATTACAAATACACTCACTCTATATTTGTACAAGTGTTTTGACCCTATTTAAATTTCACATTTGATTCACATATAACCTAAGGTCTAAAATACACAATTTAGATCGAGAATCAAATAATGTAAGTAAGCATAAATATGCAATCTATTAGTTGGCATTATCAAAATAAATTATACACACAAACTTTTAAATAAACAAGGTCTACAAATCTAAGATAGAAATCCTAAGCCTTTGATTGTTTCCGTCGCTCCTGTCTTGATGAGTTAGTTTTTGTAATATTGAAGAAAGAGAAGTAAGTACAACCATTCAATAATTAAGATTCATCTAACCTATGCAAATGCATGTTAATCAATCATAGTGATGCAAATGGCATATTCAAATGAAACACATTCACATATTAAACCACCAAATTCATATAGTCACAAAACTAACAATCATATAATATTAGATTATTTAGCATGCAATGGTCACAACACTAACAACCATGTACTCTTTATAAAATGTGCAAGACCACAAAAATAACAATCATATGACTATATAATGATACGCATGATCAATTTCAATCTTATACTTTTTTGATACTTCCGACATAAAATTGGTGGCTATTTAGTGGGATTCATCCTTATTATTAGACTACCCAAGCCTTTCACTTGCGAGAAGCTACCGGTTAAGGCCACTACATTTACTTGTGAGTCACGATTTCCCCCAATACTAATAATCATGAGGTGTCGTCCTTCTAATTTGGCCTTCTCATGAACCGATGAAGACTAATTAGGTTTAAGTCTCTTGATAAACATGCAAGACAATCCCTCAAATAATAAGTGGAGCAAATAAATAAAGAGGCAAGCCATCGAGCTCTGAATGGCTTCCTTACCACGTGAATTTTCAATATTTACTCCTCTCCCTATAGGTAAAACCCCCACCTTATATGATCATGCAATGAAATCATGGCTAACACACAATATATGCAATTATTCATCAAATTCTCTTCATGGCATACACATACCATACTCATTATTCTCATACTCTTCTACACTTCCATCACAATTTCACCACTTATCAAATCCATTTTTTTTTTCAAATCATGCTTAAACAAAGTATAAGAAATAGTTTCACTCAATCAAATTCATTTTCACAACAAAACCATTAAATATTAACTCTATGCGACAATTTGCATTTCTTTATATATTAAAAAATATACTCATATCTTCTATTCAATTATAAATGGCTATGACTAATTAATAAATAAATACACAAACTAAATTTCTTCTGAATACCTCAAACTTTTGAGAGATCAAAGGTTTATCCGTTAATAAAAATATTCCAACTTAATTAATCTACACTTAATCATACCAACATCATTAATATCATTATAAACATTCTTCCAACTTTTATTAATCAACACTTTAATTAATCAAAATTTTAATCTCTTTCACTTAAGCATAACCATTAGGTTTATTAACTCTCATTAACTCTATTTAGCTTCTATTAACTTAAATAATCATTAATATAACATCCAACAATCCAAAATCATACCTTGGAGGTCTAAGATTTGTTCAAAATAGATGACCCATGCTTACAAGCTTGTAAAAAATTTTAAATTATATTACTTAAACAATTCTTATTAGTCCCATTCAAACTAATAGGTTCTGACCTATAGTCTTAAATTCAAAAATCCTTATCTCCCAATCTCAAATTTTACTTCTAAAATGTATAGAGAAAAGAAGAGATAAGAAGGTATACGTAGGTAAAACCAAGCTCCAAATACCTTCAAAATGACTGAAAGTTGATGCCCTAGTAGAAAAAATACTCTCTTTGTCGCTCCCTCTTTGTTTTCTAGTCTCACTCTATATTTTTGAACTGTTTTCGTGTTTTTAAAACAATTTATTCTAAAAATTATGCTATAGCGTAAATTTTTATGTTGTAACATAATGCATAGTGGGCCAAATTTTTTTTTTTTAAATTTGAGCTCATATTACTCAATTCACTTTTAAACCTAATCCAAAAGCTCAAGTCAAATTCAATATCCGTCTCTAACTATCCTCAAACTCAATTATACTTAAATTTACATAATTACTCTTCATTAGATTAATAAAATGTGAGAAAATTTTTTGAGATGTTACAGATACAATGTGCCACATTATTCATATTTTATTCAATAAAATTGCATCAGTTCAATCAAATAAAATCTTATATCATTATTTTTTAATAATTTTATTTTTGAAATAGAGTGAATATTTAATTTATTATCTTTTATTTCTCTATCATTATCAATGACAATCAATTTATATGTACTGCAATCTAGCATGGCATATTTTTACTGGATTGAGCATAAATGATGTAATATTTTGTGCTCATGCAAGAATTTCTAATCTTATTAATATTAATTCTCAATTCAATAAAAAATAGGATAAAAATTTAATAACATAACTTATAAATTAAAAAAATTTCATATAAATAAAATAAGAGATAACATTTCAAAAGTGTATATATATTGCATCTAGATATATTGGCTAAATATTCTAAGACCCATATAAATTATGATAAAAGGAATGAAGTGGGGCCCTCACAATACGCCTAGTTCCGTCACTGTTCATCAATGGCTAAGTGCAATTACGCGTGAACTGGCAAAATTCTCCTCCTTTTTGTTTTATTTGCAGGCATCTTATATTTTGTCTTTCTTTCAGCATTTACGTGTAGTGAATTATTGACCGAATCTAAACTCATCTCTTTAATTGATTAGAATGAATCAAATAATTATAATTTTTATGTGTAAATTTTTTATTTATTAAAATTTAAGTGTTATAAATATTTATAACTACTTTAATTTAAGTAATACTTACTTTTCTTTTAACAATGACTTAAATGAAATAAGCAATAATAATTTTTTTGTGTGAATTTTTTATTTATTGAGAATATTTAATTATTTTATTAAAAATCATTAATGTCATGAAGATTTTTATGACTTGAGAATAAATATGGAATTTTAAATTTTTTTATTGTCATTGACATATTTTAAGAATATTTTTCTGTTATTTTTCCATAATCTTTCCCTTTGTTACATCAATTCAATAAATTTCTAGAAATTATGGCACAAGATAGTAGGGATGTTCATGGGATAAAATGGGATCAAGACACCCCCATCTTGTGTCCCGTCTTGAAAAAAAAGATCGAGACTGAATTTTGATCCTGCGTCCTGTCCCATCTCAAAAGTCGTCCCATCTCATTAGGAGTCGGGACGGGATCGAAATAAGATCAGGACATCCCACTGTCTCGATAAATCAGATAATATTGAAGAAAGTTCTGAATAATAATATTTATTAAAATTTTGAATCATATAATTTATTAAGTTTAAAATCAAAACAATACAAATATATAAATCACAACAATTTAAAATCAAGTATTGAATTACATTAATCACAACTATACATTATAATAGCAAATATAAGTGATCTTTAGGTTATAAGAGTAGAATAACAGGCAAGTCAAGCACAATATTAAATTATTATTTTTCTACTTTAGTAGAGATATACTAAACTAATT